ACAGAGAACATGTAAAGTACAGACACCATATAAAGTACAGACAACATATAAAGTACAGACACCATGTAAAGTACAGGCACCATGTAAAGTACAGACACCATATAAAGTACAGACCCAATGTAAAGTACAGACAACATGTAAAGTACAGACAACACGTAAAGTACAGACAACATGTAAAGTACAGACAACATGTAAAGTACAGACACCATATAAAGTACAGACCCAATGTAAAGTACAGACAACATGTAAAGTACAGGCAACATGTAAAGTACAGACACCATATAAAGTACAGACACCATATAAAGTACAGACCCAATGTAAAGTACAGACAACATGTAACTGTAGTGAACTAAGCCTCCGGTCAAAACCTGCCTCTGAAGACCTTCATGGGACAGGAACTGTTATTTCATTGATTTGAATCCAGAAATACAAATTAGCTCATCCAGAGACTTTCTAATTGTACCCTGAACTAATCAATTGAAAGAACACTCTCTTTTTTATATTATCATTACTATTTTACAATATCTTGATAATCAAAAGTGTGTTTAGTTCATATCATTTTAAATGTTGAAGTGAACCACTCATTTTAAATCAACTGTGAAACAGTATTAATGATTTTTAATCCTCATTCAAAGTAGAAATCAAGTTAAATGTCTATGTTACAAAGTAATTATGCATTTTTTGATCTTCTGTCTGAAATGAGAAAGGTGTGATGTCGGTCAAAAGTCGGAGACAGTCCGAAGCAAGTTATTGGAACGTACTGTCATGTTTTTAAACCTCTCAGACAGAAACAAGAAAAACTAGCACCTGTAAGTCTGTCGTTTCTCCAAAACATTTCTCTGTCTGTTCCTAAACATCTCCGCTGTTTTTTTGACTTGTAATAACCCTCTGACGTCACTAAAACCACACCCCTATTGGTTCTTTCAACCAATCAGGACTTCCCAAAAGTGACCGGAAGCAGAACTCTTTAAAAGTCGGCACTTCGTAGTTCCAGACAGAACAGAAGTTCCGAGAGAACAGAAGTTCCAGAGAGAACAGAAGTTCCAAAAGTTCAGAACAGAAGTTCCGAGAGAACAGAAGTTCCAGAGAGAACAGAAGTTCCGAGAGAACAGAAGTTCCGAGAGAACAGAAATTCCGAGAGAACAGAAGTTCCAGAGAGAACAGAAGTTCCAAAAGTTCAGAACAGAGGTTCCGAAAGTTCTGAAGTGCTGGAGTTAGTTGGGAGTTCTTCCGAGTCTAGTCGGGATTATGGAGCCTTCCACATCTGAGTGGAACCTCTGTCGGACTCACAGCTCGTGTGAGTACCACCCGGCGAGTGCCCTATAACTTCTGAGGAGGTTTGTTCTGTGGAACGGATTATCTCACGACTTCTGCCAAGTCGCAGCCGCCCTGAGGAGACGCTGAAAGGTAGCGTGCCAGGGACCTCTTGACCGCAGCTGATTCATCCTTTGCCAAGGTAAAGAGTCGTCACGAGCTTCACTACCAGTGTACTGCGGGCGAACTGCGCTTGAAAGGAGCGTGTTGTTCTGGTTTACAGACATACATCCTCATCCATCTTTTTTCTCCATTCAAACTCCTTCATTCCCCATCTTTAAAACTCTTCTATCTTGCCAGTAAAAGGTAAACTAAAAGTCTGCAGACATTAATTTAAGATCTAAGGAAATGTCTGTTGTTTTTATTAAGTAAAACGTGCCAAGTTTTATTAATCAGAGCCGATCAGAATAATCAAGTGTACAATGTTTTGATGTTAAATTTTGATTCTGTTAATAAATGACCACATTCATTTTGATGGGTCAAAGAAAATTAACGTCTCATGTCACTGATTAGACCATCTCCAACACAGTACCTCTGTCACATATCTGTCAAGTAGCTCGAAAAAGAGAGAACCCGTTATTAAATATTGATTGTAGTGGAGCTCCTAAGCTAACTGAAGCTAACCTAACCCTACCTCACTACATAAAGTACAGGCAACATGTAAAGTACAGACAACATATAAAGTACAGACAACATATAAAGTACAGACAACATGTAAAGTACAGTCAACATGTAAAGTACAGTCAACATGTAAAGTACAGACAACAATAAACTACAGTAAATGCAATTAAAATAAAAGTTATAAACCATTAAATCAAGGTGCCGTATAAAACATGCTAAAATACTAAAAACAAGAACGTAAAACATAAACAACATACTTGTTTTTACATACTATGTTTATAAATAAGTATATGTTTTGTATTTTTATAGTAGGTAGATCACTTGGACTTGGTCATTTTAAAAGTAGCTCGCATGCTGAAAAGTTTGGGCACCCCTGGTTTAAGGTATGCTAAAGATATTAGGGCATTAACAGAGTACTCGAGTAATCTACACATCGATTGCTAGGACATCTATCGAGGTTAAAAATGTAACGTTGAGTATCTGTAGTGACGTCATATTATGTGACCACCGTATGACCGTAGGGGGCGGTGTTGCACTGTTGCAGGTCACAGAGTACGGTGTAACACCGGGTCCAATCCACCAGAACCAGTTTCGGTTAAGTTTCGTTTTTGACGTGCTGCACGTTTCTTCACGTTTGCAGTTTAATAATAATAATTAATAGTTTAGTTTTTCCTGTGACTTATTTGCAGTATGATAAATGGTAGGAGCATAATATACGCTCCCAATGTTTTGTTGGTCTTTTTTTCTTGTAAATAATTACCTTTTTTTGCGGTTTTATTCATTTATTTATTTTTGTATCTTGAGATCTATGACGTCATCAAATACTCGAGTTCTACTCGTGTTTTATTACGTTAATGTCGAGTTTAAAAATTATATACTCGTTCAACCCCTAAAAGACATGCATACAGAAAAAACAAAGTACTTTGTGTTAAACCACGGCTTCAAACAATTTTAAACAGAGCAGGTCTTGTCCAACAAAAATGTTTGCTTTTATCTATAATAAGGCAGAAATGATGTCATCACGGTGACTAAACAGGTAAAGTTAATATTCTGCTCTGGTCCCACAAATGTGAGATGGTCTCCTTGCTTTCTTTTGTAGACTTCATACTACTGTTTATATTCACACTACTGTTTATATTGCACACTACTGTTTACATTGCACACTACTGTTTACATTGCACAC